AACTCAAGAAACTTTTCCAGCCCTCCCCAGCATAGGCAGACCATACTACCTTAAGGCTGCTGCAGTTGCAAGCACAGGAGACTTCTATATGTGCAAATAAAGGAAGTGGAACCAAAGGGGAACAAGCAAAGCTTGTGATAGCAGGGAGTCAATCTCCACTGCATTTGGCAGAGTCTCAAAGGCAGACAGAGTTAGGAAACCTATATAGTGGGAAGGAAAGGATTCATATGTGCTCTGATTGGAGGCTGCTGGTATGGGGAAACTGTTGGTGTGCTAACTTGAAGCAAGGCATCCTATGCAATTGGTCAGGAGTGCGTGCATATTTAGCTTTTTTGGGGTTGGTCCTAAGTTGGGAGCAGGGACAAAAATTAGGGAATCTGTCAGTTTTTAAGTCCTAGTGCTTGAGGTGGTTGTTATAGAGGTTATTGTGTGGCTTTCTGGACCACTTGCTAGAGATAGTTGGTCTTATATCCTACCAGTGACTTGTAGTTAGCAGGCTGATTTCCTGGGCTGGGTACTATCAGTAATGGTTTGGTTTCCTGGGTTGGTTCTGCAGACTGGATCTGAGCTCTACTTTTATAGATGGTCTCACCATTGTCCATTTGTATATCTAGTGTCTCATCTGGAAGATTTATCACATCCCTAGACTTCAACAAGGTTATCCCTTGCTCAAATCTTCAAACTAAATGAAGCTGGTACATGACACAGAGTCTCCACACTCACGTCTAACTGCATTACATAACTTCCAACCTCCCCGACCCCTTGGTTTTATTAGATGGTGGGGGTGCAGGTGGGGACGGAAGAAGAGGAAAAGGAAAGGAGGAAGAAAGAAGAAGAAAAAAACCCAACCCTGCTCAATCTCATATATATTTTCCAATCTTTCCCTACATGTGAACTTAGACTTTTCCTCAAAAGCCAAGAATTTAGGTTTGCTGTTCTCAGATGATTTGGTTGATAATCTTAATGCAGGGAAGGTCCCCGTATCTAGCTGCTTTAATGAAGAAAGGTAAGCAGAAGCTGGATCTTCAGACAGCCCCAGGTTGTCCAGGGTTGGGGGTGAAGTTCACAATCCTGGCGCTGGAGGGCGCTCTTGATCCTTGCAGGAGCACCTGCAATCGCTGCCGGCTCAGCCTCCTTTGCTCTCAGTTCTTAACAGGATACAGACACTGCTGAAAGGCAGCTTCTCTCCATTTTTAATTCAGGGCTCTCTGTGACTTTGTGGAGCTGTATACCCTGCGGGGAAATGATATCAGCCAGAGTTGTATCAAAGAAACTGACCACTAGGAGGTATGTATGGTAAGGGATTAGTCACAGGGCCTTGACCCAATGTGGGAGTTGGCGAAACAGTCTCTGTAAGGCTGTTGTCTTCAGATATGGTGCTGGAGCTTCTAAAACCATACCTGTGTTACCCTTTTTGGCTCCTAGAGAATCTGAAGACTGCAGATACCTTTTTTCCTTCTTCCTTTTAAAAATCAGCTTTTTAAAACAATTTTTTCCTCCGTGTCTTTCCCTTCTCCCCCTCTTTTCATCCCGATCCTATTTGTATTTTGCAACCACTGACCTACATGGTGAATTTAAGCACCAAAGAAGTACACTATGTTTGAAATAGGGGACAGGAAAGAAGGCACAAGGGGCACCTGGGTGGCTGAGTAGGTTAAGCATCTGCCTTCCACTCAGGTCATGATCCCAGGGTCCTGGGATCAAGCCCCACATCAGGTTCTCCGCTCAGCAGCTGAGTCTGCTTCTCCCTCTGCCCCTCCCTCTGTGATTGCTCTGGCTCTCACTATCTCTCAAATAAATGAATACAATCTTAAAAAAAAAAAAAAAGAAGAACTAAAGGAGGCACAGGATGGCAGTAATGGCAGATAGAAAGCCTAATGTAATTTTTCCAGTAGGATGAGCTATGAGCTAGGACTTAGGATCTGGGATATCTAAACTGCCCTATTTACAAGAATACATTCCTTTCATGCTGACCCAGGCCTAGAGGACAAGGAGCCCAGACAAGGAGTCAAGAAGCAAAGGCCCCAGTTATGGCTCTGTCATTATATTGATTCTCTTCATCATTTTCTTCACTTTTCAAGTACGTCTTTAAATACTAAGGTCATTGGAAACTCAACAAAACTATAGTTCAATAATCACTACCATTCACAACTAATCAATCCACTTTTGTTCCACGTGTAAAGATTGTTATGAAGCCTCCCCCTTAGATTCTCACTTCAAAAAGCCTTTGCTAACAAGTGGAAATTAGTCAATGGTCTGGGCAAAAGTCAGCTCTTGGACATGGATAATTATTTAAATGTATCATATTTGGTTAATTTTTAAGAAAGGATTTCAGATCTCCATTTGGATGCCTCACTTCTAATGTTCTGGAAGCTCTCTTCAAACCAATGAATGGAGTCACACAGGAAGGTTGGATTTAGGATGGGTGTCAGCCCCATTTTCACATTTGAAACTAAGTATAAGTTTTTGTTGAAACTCCTCTTTTACTACCACCCTGGGACAAACTTGCCTTTCTACCTAACTTGTCCTGAATCAGTGGAAGTGGCTAACGGTTTGGCTTTTTAAGTATTCACATCATCCTTTCAGTGCAAATCCTATTTGGTATGTGTCAGATCCCGAACACAGAGCTCAGCACCTGGAACACAGTATACCCTCCATATTTGTATATTGCATGACCTAGAAGTCAGTAGTGGAGTCAACTGTGCCACCCATGTCAGTAATGAAGATCTGATGAGCAGATCAAATAAATACTCTCATAATTCTCAGAAAAAAAGAACAACCTAGGAATCCTGAATATGTCACATTGTAATAGTAAAATTTTTATGATTAAAAAAAATTGGCATTGCAGAAAACAAGAAAATACAAAGAAATTCAAAACATCCATAATCTCACCATCTAAAGGTGGTGTTGTTAACATTTTTATGTTCATATTTTACACGTAATTGTCTGTGAAATTGGGATGCTCTTACATTTTTATTTAATATTGTATTGATAAATTATTAAATTTTTTAAAAGAATGGGGTTCTGTGGGATCATATATTATTACCCCAGCTCTATCAGAGTATCTTTTTAGAGCTAAGAACACCCTCTACCTGAATTCTACACATGAAAAAAGACATTAAAAGATGATGTGAACTGCCCACATCCCCCTGGCAGCGAGAAGACAAAGGCAGACTCTCAACTCAGCTGTTGCTTCTGAGAATCCAGGGCTCCCCAGTGCGTGCTGTCCAGCGTGTGTCTCTACCTTTATAATGGCTCTATGTGGACTGTTGGAAATGGGTCTTCCCTTATTTTATTCATGATCCCTTGTCCTCCCTCTCCTGTTAATATGCACGTCATTCAAATCAAGATATTCTACTTCTTTGGTGGTTTACTCCCTCTTCTTCCCACCAATATCGGCCAGACCAGCTTGATGACTACCTAAAGCTTGCAAATCCATAAGATCTTAGATCCTGATTGGGACAGCTTCAATTCCAAAAACCCTAATTAAGTCTACCTTTGTAGCAGGTATTTTGCCCTAAGACCATCCAGGAACAAAAGACAAAATACTGTCCTCTTTTGGAAAGGTTCCTCCATTAACACAGAGAACCCCATGAAAGAGTGAAAGGGAGGGTGACAGAAGAGGAACATGGCTTTTCTCCTAATTTCTGGCTCCAGCTACCTGTCCAGGCCCAGCAGCACCTGGGATGCATGCTCAGCTGAGTACACAATGGAGTGTTGTGTCAGCTGGCAGGAATGGGAATGATCATTGAATTCTGAGCTAGAAGATGACCACAAAGCTGCTCCATCTTGAATGGGTTTTGTTCCTTCTATTAGATGTATTCTGATTTATGAAGTGATAGCCAGGAACCCAGACCATCAGCTTTTGCACCCTTATGTCACATGCAGCACAACCCCTTTACTTCTGTCTCTGGGACAGTCCCACTGGCTACTCTGGGCCTCTCTGTCTTGGCACGTGGCCACTTTCTGGGCTACAGCACAACCCTGCTATATATTTAAAATTTTAACCAGCACCCTTGCTTATCATTATCTTTAAAAATTCTTGGAAGTGGACTGAAATGTTAATTATAAATTTGGCTATGATTTGACAAATATAAATAACTTTGTGTTTTGTAATGTTCACAGAACCTTTCTACACTGATAAACAATGCCTACATAGTACTCCTGAATCAGGTAGAGTCACTACAACATAGTGCAGGTTAAAGAAAGGATTTTTTCAGTTCACCAAGGATATTTCCCTAAACCCTCTCTACCACACTGCCTTACACCAGGCTCTCCCCAGCCAAAATCTTACTTCATTCAGACATGACCTGGGACCTATCACTTCCTCTTGTGCTGCTTAATCAGGCAGAGGCAGCTACAAAGATCTGATGAACATTAGCTCTGAACTCTGGAATGATGAGGTTTTTTTCCCTTCTCCTGGCTGCTAAGCAAATGAACAGACTTTACTCTTATGTGTTTAAGGAGAAAAAAAAAAAGTTTGCCTTAAAATAGGCACCCACCTCCGAAGGCACTCAACCTGCGTATGGAAAAGTGTGTGGGATGTGTTCACATCCTGCATAACTTAGAGGAAATTTTTTCTGAATATACGGTCCACAGGATGCAGCCCTGCTTGGCCTTGAGTTAATTAACTAGAGTACCTGATGAATAAATAGTCCCCAAATAGCATTGCATAAACTTCAACAGTTCTTGAATGTTCTTTACTGGTGAGGCAACACAAAAGAAGGATTTACTTAGTGGAGGAAAAGAGCTAAGGGGAGAGAGATTATAAAGGAAAAATAAGCATCCTGGAAACAGACACAGCTCCCAGGCCAACTGCTTCCCCAAGACTCTCCACTCCTAGTTTTAAGTGGCTCAGCAAATCTTTGCTTCTGCCATACTATGTGATTTCAGCCATGTAGTCCCTTTTGCTGGTTCTTAGTTTCCCTCTCTATGAAGTAGATAGCAGTATTCGTTTTTCCCATTTCTCATTTTCTCACATCCTCTTGGGAGGCTCTCAGTGAAACATGAAACATTCAGAAATTGTCAGTGAACTTCCACATCTCCCATTGGGGATAGAAGAAGTATTGATCCCAGGAGGCTTTTATTACTGTGTGGCACTTACAGAGACTTACAGAAAAGACAAGCAAATAACACAAAGAGAATACCAAATGGATCATGCATGTACATTTGAACAAATATTTAGACATATACACGTAGCCCTCTCCATCAGCCCATTCACACACACACAGAATAACTACAAAAAGGTAGTAAAGAATAGGCAAGAAGAGATACAGGAGCAGATGTTCGTTCACACAGCCATGCTGGAAAGCAAACAGACCTACGCTCACTCTTAGATATTCTTATCATCCTTTCCTACTGGAAGTTTAGATATCAAGCCAGTCTTGACTTCTGGCGTGTGGCCAGCCCTGATCTTCACTAGCAGTCATGACTGCCTGTGGTGGAAAACAAGGGTCCAAATGCACATTTATGGAGGGGCTGTACCAGGTACAGGGAACATTGAGCGTAAGACAGTCCCTCCTGGGAGGGCTCACATCCAGTAAAGGAAGGAGAGGTGCAAACCGTTACAAATGCATAGGAGAGTTCTGTGACAGAAGGGAGTACAGGAAACGTGGTCCAATTCTGTCCTCCTGAACCCTAAAAAAGAAAGACAATTCTCCTCCATTCTTCACAGAACAAAATGCAGGCCCAGAGGTATCTGGGTGGGCTGTGGCCCATGCTGCCTTCTGCCCACCATGTTGAGCCCATCACGGAGCGCTCAGTGAAGAGATTGTAGAAGGAGTGGGCAGCGGTGGCCACACACTGACCCTGGGTGAAAGGAAGGATAAGAGAAAATAACCAGGAGTGCAGTGAGAAGCAGGGCTAAGGAACTAGAAGGATGTTGCCTTTGCCCCCTCCTGTCTTTACCTCCCTGTCTGCCAGCAGGGGGGCAGGCCTCCTGCCACTTGGAAAGAGAAAAGCCAGGAAGCCTGGTGAAGCGCCATTCCCATTTTCTTCTGACTTAGGATCTAAAGAGTCTTCCTGACCCTTCTCCTGGCTCTGGTGTCCCATTTGCCCCGATCCAGCCATGGACCTGAACTCGTCCATCCTAGGTCCGTGAGGGCATCTGGCAATGGTGATCCCCAAACCACAAGGCACTCAGTCACCTGGAGGATCAGTCAGGGATCCCAGGATCTCAGGATTTGAGGCCAAATAGCCCAGCCCCTTCACTTCACAGATGAGACTGAAGCCTTAAGTGTGGAGGTCATTTGCTGCCGGTCCCGCATCACGTCGGTGAGTTAAGGTTGGTTCTAGGATTGACAAGATAGTCAGTGAGAAAGTTGCAAGTTGAGAAACTAAAGAAGACCCAGTGATGAGTTGGGCTTTTGTTCATGGTCAGATATCTCATCATAGGTACAGCTGAGAATAGAACCTAGGGCTCAGCCATGGCCCCTGGAGCTAATGGGTCTTTCTTACCTGCTGAAGAATGGTTACATGTCACTTCCAGCATAGGCAGAGCTGCACACAGGGCCCCGGACTAGCCAGTCCATGGTACAGATATGTGAAGACATGGACCAAAACTTCAGCATCTTGATGAAGAAAGCAACAGAGTAGGATGGGAAGATAAAGGGAAATAGTGGAGCCAGGCCTAATGGTTTGGGTTTTTCTTTCATGTTCTAATTTTTTAAGCTGCAGAGAGCTCCTCCACACATCCTACAGAAAAAAATCCTTGGTAAGGTCCTACCATGAGGTCTGGCACGAGACACCTGAGGTCATGATGGTGGGTTGGGGTTGATGGGGTGCCAGATGAGAGCGCTCATAATTCCGTCTGTACCATCTGGGCACACGGCCCTGAGAATCTCCCACTGTCCCCTCCCCCATACCAGAGAGGGTGGCTAGGAAGCTCTGACAACAACGGAGATAAAATGGAAGCAGAGGCCTGTCTCATGGCCACAAAGAAGGGGAACCTTAGAACCAAACCATTGTTTACAGGATGCACACCTCCCGAGCTGGAGACTCAGCTCAGCAGAGTGGGGCCTTCCTCACAAGGGTCTGGGGCAGGGCTGCCTGCATCTGTGTCACTTATCTTGACTCTGTGGCACATATCTGACTCCATCCCATGGATTGAAGAACATGGCAGACTTGCAGGAAGGTGATCTGCTCTGGCTTCCTTCCTAATATACAGAAGACCTGGAGAGGAAGAAAAGATTATGTCAATTCTGGGGACCTTATTTCTTCACTCTTCTCCTGAGGCCTCAACTGTCATGAACAACAGGGTGATTCTGCCTGCCTTACTGGAAGGGAGACTAGAACTGAGGGAAAATAACACTAGTCAAACACCTGGATAGCATCTACTGTGTTCAAGGTACTTTGCATGTTTAAATATTCTATAAACACTCATAATAGTGTACACTTTAAACTTACCCACGTTTTACAAATGGGAAAACTAAGGCATAGACAGATTGAGTAGCTTGCCCAAGGTTATTTGAACACAGTCTGGCTTCAGAAACTGGGCTCCTTCCAATATCTTATCCCACTTCCCAGAGCACTGGGAAGAGAACTCAGGTATTGAACACCCAGCCTGGGACACAGACAACCATAAGACAAATTCCCAAATGTTCTCTGCTCAGTGTTCATTTGTCAAGTTTTTTTTAAAGATTTTTATTTATTAATGAGACACACACACACACACACACACACACACAGAGAGAGAGAGAGAGAGAGAGAGAGAGGCAGAGACACAGGCAGAGGGAGAAGCAGGCTCCACACAGGGAGCCCGACGACGTGTGCCCAGGTCTTCAGGATTACACCCAGGGCTGAAGGTGGCGCCAAACCGCTGAGCCACCTGGGCTGCCCCATTTGTCAAGTTTTTAATAAGAAAGAGCCCCCTCCCTTTCATCACTCCCCTAAAATTATGAACCTTGCTGCAATCCCACTCAATCCTACAAGCTTTCTGGATTCACAAGCAAGGTTTCTTCTCCTCATTAACACTTAAGAATGGCTCTTGCTGCTTGATGATCCTTGCCACTTAATATTAGGGTTTTAAATTTATCTTTTCATTTTCATTTAGCTTAGAACCTGGTTGCTCACAGGGGCAAATGCACACTTTTATGCAGGTGCATGAATGAAGAGGGGGAGTGCATGGGAGTCTGTGGTGATGTGAGAGGTTACACCCCTGAGTGTCCACTTCCACTAGTGGAACCAAGGCTTTGCTCTGAGATCAGCCTCAGACGTGGCCACCTGGGACAACCCTGAGAACATCCAACAAGAGTGCTGGAGGGAAGGCTTCAAACAAGGCACCTCCAAAACCACTCCAGACCTAGCTAGCAGAAATAACTCCCTACAAGTGTGTAAGAGCCAAAGCACCCTGGCACTCAGAATTTTGGGCAATTCAATGGCCTTTGAGAAGCACCACCAGCTCACGTTTGCCATCTTCTGGGCAGCAAGGGGAAGCTCATCCGGCCTGCTGGTCCTGCTGGTCGTGCAGCAGGCCAGACAGGGCTGGCTTCAGCCACAGTCCCCACTGTTCCTCTGCACCTCTTGCTCCCACGGTGCCCACCTGCCTGCCCAAAGATGCCTGTTAGCACAGGAAAAGGAGAAGCTACCAGAAGTATTAACAGAAAGACTCTCCAAAGGTACTCTAGCCTGTAGCCTTTCAATCTTAATGAGCACACAGATTTTCTGGTGAGCTTGTTTGTTGAAACGCAGATTCTGAATCAGTGCGCCTGCGGTGGGACATGAAATTCTGCATTTTCAACAAGTTTCCAGGTGATGCAGATGCTGCTGGTCTGAGGACCACACTTTGAGCAGCAGGACTTCAACCCATCATTCAACATCCCTCAATTCAGCATCCAGATCACTACCTGGTGACTTATCAAGTCTCAGCTAGATTTTTTTTTTTCTGTAAGGAAACTTCTTGCTCTTCTTCCAGTTGAACAGGGAACACCTAAAAAATATGAAATATCTACCACTTAGCTACCACTCAGTGTGTGCCAGGCCCAGAGCTACACACTTTCATACATTATCTATTTCAATCATCTTCCAGTTGTTTCCTTTTATAAAATAACTATTATTACCCCTATTTTATAGATCAAAAAATTGAGGCCCATAAAAGGTAACTAAGCAGCCCACGGCTACATAGTAAGTAACTGGCAGAGCTGAGATTCAAACTGAGGTCTTCTGGGCCTCTATGGAACCAACCAGTTCACTGTCTCCCATCAGAAGTCTCAGGAGTCTCAGGTGACACCATCTGATCAAGATCCATTTTTACAAAGTGGATCCTATCAACCCTCTCTCAAGGCCTAACACTGCTATGCCCTGCCATCCCCTTATTCTGAGCCCTCTTGGATGGTAACCTACTGGCTGGCAGAAGTAGCCATAGTTAGCCAGGAACGACGTGGCCATGAACCAAGAAGAAGAAGACAGAAGGAAGGATCAAGTCATAAAGCATGTTCTGCCATGAGACCCACCTACCTGGCTCAGGGCCTGTGAAGCTAAAACCTCTCCCGTCATGTTCTGGATACCACCATCCCTCCCCAACCCTCAATGATAGTCAGTGAGTGACTGCTAATCAGAGCAACTCCATGGAACGGCTAGAGCAGATGCTGGGACTTGAAGACATCTTGCTGGTCTCTCAATTGTTTTAATGTGCACAACTATGGACCACATAACCACCCTGGACATCTATTATGTGTGAGGCCCTAAGTTAGGTGCTGGAGTATGAGAGGAACACCAAGCTGTGCAGACAACAGCCCTGCCCCCAGTGAACTCAAAGGCTCACTGAGGTGGAGGAAACAACCCTTACTTGTAAGGTTGGGGCCAGATGAAGAGTAGGAACCAGGAGGTGTTCTAGACTGGAGAAGGAGGAGGCCCTGGGCAAACAGAGAAGGGAGGCAGCTTTACACCAAGGGAGGCATGCTGGGTACCCAGACCTCTCCCATCTCCAAGGGATCAGTGAGAATGCAGTGGAGGCTTCCACCAGGGGAGGAGCAGCCGCAGATGCAGAGAGAGAACAGACTTGATTAACAAGGGGTCTTGAAGACTATTTTAAGGAGCTTGAACTTTATCACTTAATATTCATATGACAATGACATGTTGAATAGTACTAAGCACTTCCCCATGCTAGACTCTGTTCTGAGCACCAAGCCACCTCCCTAAAACAAATAAGACAAAAATCCCTACCTTGCAGGACTTCCCAAACTGGTCAGATAGGCCAAGGGAGCTACGAAGGGCTTCTGAGCAAGCAGTGGATGTGGGGATGGCAGATTCTCAAAGGATTATGGTGGCAGCAGAGTAATTTGTTGCCACAATTAAATGATAAGCTCTCTGGGCATGTCTCATGTCTCACAAGTTATCTGTATCTTCCACATGGTACCAGGCACCATACTGGGCCTGACTTTTAAAAGTGAGACATGGCCCTGCTTTGAAGCACTTGCTCTTTGGAGGGGAGACCAACAAAATCTGCAAATTGTGGGATGGCAGAGTGTTGGTAAATGCTTACCAGGCTGCCAGGGTGGGAGAAGATGGGTGGATTGTAGTGTTGGCCAGTTCCTGTGGTGTAAATGCTCCCACCACAACTGATCTCGAGCTACCAGAAAGTCACTGAGTGTGGAGTTCGGGAGAGATGCGTGCAGGCAGTGCTCTCCAGCTGGAGAATCTGGCCCTAGTTCCCCCAAGGAGAAGGGAGGTGGAAACCTAAGTAAGGAAACAAATGACCTGGCCTTAGAGAGCCAAGGAAGGCTTCAGGAGAAGCCTGGCCTGCTGAACATGCAGGAATTTGTCAGGGCACCTAGGACAAGAGCATTTCTGGCAGGAAGCAATTATGTGCCAAGGCCTGGGGCCCATGGGGTGAGGCTGTGGGCCTGGGAAACAGTGCGGCATTGGAGATGGCAGGTGTGCAGGCTGCCTAGGTGATGGAGCAATGCTGAGCCTAGAGGACTGTGGGAGGCTTCTACACCCATCCACAGAGGGTAAGGCTGCCGGGAAGCCTTCAGAGGGCCACAAGTCTCTTTTGGTGTGTAGGTATTTGGGAGGATCATCCCATCAGCAGTGCAGAGGTTGGGCTGGAGGAGAAGAGAGACCAATAGATAGAGGAGGGAAGCTGAGAGGTGTGGCTGTCAGGACCTGCTTCTTCAGGTTGGACGGCTTCCTAGCTGGCACACTGAGGCAGAGGGGTTGGAGGTGAAGGGGCAAGCTCTTTAGCCAGAGCGCCTCACTGCCACCTGCCAAGTTACTTGACCCCTCTTGTCCCTGGCACACACTTTCTGTGCCCTGTCTTCCCTGAATTGTAATCACCCATTTCCACATCTGACTCCCCACCTAGAGCGGGATCTCCTGGAGAGTGGTTGTGCCTTCTCCAGTAGCAACTCTACAGGTCCTCACAAAACCTGGCACCCAGAGCATGCCCAGTGCTCATGCTGACCAACCATTCGCTGAGAGCAAGGTGTCTGGAAGGAACCCCATGTTTGGGGCTCAGAACACTGAGCAGAGATGAACAGGGCCTAGGTAGAAACAGGAGATGTTGGGAGTTCTATTAGGTGAGTGTGTAGGGGGGTGGGGGAATGAATTCTATCTTGCTTGCTACTGACTTCTATTTTTCCATTTAAAGAATAGGAAAATGGGAGATGGGATCTGTGTCTCTACAAGGAAGGCAG